CGCCCCCCGGCAGCCCCCGCGCGCACAGCGGCCGGGAAGTGCCGGGGCGGAGCGGGAGCGGCCGCGCAGGGAACTACAGTACCCACAAGGCATTGGCGTGGCGCGCATGCGCATTTCAGCCCTCCCACCCCTGCAGCGTGTGTGAATAAGGAACAGTTCAGAGGAGCCTCTTTTCAAAATAATTATCTTTAATTTTGAGCGGGTGTGAGGCTCGCGGAGGAACAAGCGTGAATAACTATGGTGTAGCGCAAGTTCTGCGCGGAGGGGCTCGAAGGGGGTGGTACTAGGGAATTCTCTGCCGCTGCGGCCGTTGGGGTCATCCGTTAGCTGCTGGCGCGACCGTTAAATGAATTCGGGGGCCGAAGGGCGACTGGCGATACCCTGAGCGGGTGGGTCCCTCCTGCCCTGAGGAGGGGAAAGGGAAATGTGTGGGGATCGAACATGAGCGTCTTCCTCCTTTCTAGCCACCCCCTTCTTCTGAGACTATGTTAAGATTTAAACCTCGGTAATTAAGCACATTTAGTGACCTCACTGAAGTATATTCAGATTTTACTGCAGAAATCAGTACTGAGGAAACTCCACACAGCTAGAAACATTCTGACAAAAAAAATACCACAGAAGTCATATATTACCCACTTCTAAAAATGATTCCACATATAATATCTTTATTTTATTAAGAAAAGGAATGGATGTGTATTATCAAGTGACACTAATTTTTATGCAGACATACAAATCAGTTGACCAGGACATTCAAATGCCCTAAATACAAAAGAACACTTTCTCTCTTGCAGTCCTTTTCTCCAATTTTTTCCAACATTAATTACCTATGATCAGAATCTACTGAAAATACTCAACCAAGTCTGGAATCACAGTTAATAAAACTAGCTTTGCCAATGGAAAAAATAATAATAATAAATTAGGGAAAAAATATTTTTTTAAAAAAAAACTCTTAAAGCAGTTGAAAATTTATCTGTCATATGAAACAGAAGATTTTACCACCTTATCAGCAGTTAGAGCGGAAGAAAGAAATACCCTGTCATCATATAAAATTATATAGGTCTTATCTAGGCCCTTGTATTCTTTTCCCAGCAGCAGCTACAGAAGATTCAAGAGTTTGGCTATTTTCTATTGTTTCTTCTCCTTGCTGTTTGCCATCATGCACAGTTATAATGGAGACAGAAGACAAATATTTAAGGAAAGATCTTAAAAACATGATAGTCCATCTTCAGCAGCTACCATATGATTACATGGAGCACAGTAGTCTTCAGTATTACATATATATTATTATTGTGGAAAGATCAGATAGACTTTAAGCCATTCAGATTTCTCATTCAGATGCTCGCAAAAGGGCAGATTTCCCCTGCCTCCCCCATTCCAGTCTTTGCATATAATATCCTGAAAAAAATCACTGTTATAAAATTGTTCACTCAAGTGAAGTCACAATGAAACCACAATATTTTCCAGATCTTACATTAATCAGTATTTGCATCTTCTTTCTAGATATAGCTATTTTTATGTTATATCGCATAACTAGTGATTCTTGTATTATTCAAGATACTAACATGTTTGTTCATACACGAATTTATTATCATGATTCATGCCTATGCCACTTTAAATAATTAATGCAAATGTTTACCAAAATTTCTTCTTTGCATTAGTAGACATGAATAAATTATTTTTAAATACTCAGTAAATCTTTCAATTTTAGCTATACTAAAACTATCAATATGATAGCATATAGTTTAAATACACTTGCTGTACAGTAGTGTTACATAAAGAATACAAAACACATTAGCAGGTAAATAGTTTGTTTGTGCCAGAGCAAGATATTATGTTCTATCCTCATTCTTCATTTTCCGTATTTTTTTCTAAACCTGCCAAGTATGTGTTGCATGTGGGAAATTAGTGACATTACGTCACCAAATAGTTTTTCATAATTAATAGCGAGGTCCTACAAAGAGTGGAAATAAAAGTATTCAGCTCCATGCAAGAATTGACCCTATATCTTTTAGGCAACCTCTACATTTTCTTTTACTCTGCTTTTGACATGCCAGGTTTGTCTGTGGATGGATCTAATTCTTCTAAATCTGAGAATTCATGCTGTATAATTGGCTTCAGTATTTTCTCAATTTGTGTAAGTCTTTTTTTCAGTTTCTGTTGTGCAGAATCATACTCGGCCAACAACCTGGCAAACCTTGTTTGTAGTCTGTCCATTGATCCTTCCATGTAATGGATCTTTTCCTCTATATCTTTAGGATCACTTCCTAAATTTGCAGCTTCAATGTCCAGCAATCCATCTTTCATTAAGATCTGTTTTCCTTTCTCCTCCAGCATAGCTTTTGCGTCTGGATACTCTGTTAAAGCCTCCATGAGATCATCTTTAGATAGACAAAACAAGTCTGAGTAACCAATACTTCTAATATTGGCTGTTCTTCGGTTGCCAGCTTTGCTACCTTTGATATTAAGAATGCTGATCTCTCCAAAGTAGCTGCCATCACTTAAGACCACAAATTGTGTAATTCCATCATCAGCCACTACTGCAAGTTTGCCTTCTTTGATAATGTACATCTCTCGTCCAATATCTCCTTTTCGGCAAATATAATCTCCAGGACTGTACACTTGCGGCTGGAGTTTCAAGACTAATTCAACCAACAGCCCAGCTTCACAGTCAGCAAAAATCCGAACTTTTTTCAGTGTTTCCAGATGAACATTGATTGCAATCTCTGCTCGTAGTTTATCTGGCAGATACTTCAAGACTTCCCTTTCATCCACTGCCTTTTTATTTGTCCACAAGTAGTCAAACCACTTTATAACTCTTTTCTCCATGTCTTTGCTTACATTTCGAAAGTGCATGTACTGCTTGATAGCATCAATCCGTGCTTGAAACTCGGCTCGGGCAGCATTCATATTGGAGATCATAGAGCCCACGTTACCAACGATGGTTGCGAAAATCAATACTCCAACCAAGAAGTCAACAACCACAAAGAAATACTCGGAATCCCTTACAGGAGGGGGTGTTTCACCGATAGTAGTCAGGGTCAGTGTTGACCAGTAGAGACTATAGACATACTTTCTAGTCAGACGGGCAAATTCGGGATGGGATGTGTTGGGGTAGACCCATGTGTCAGCCCCAAATCCAATAGCTTTGGAGATCGAGTAGTACACACAGGCATTCCAGTGAATGATAATCACAATGTACATGACAAGGTTGGAGATCCTGAAGATATTTGGGTAGTTTGTCCTTGTTTCTGTTCGCTGGAAGAATTCAAACATACGAGCTACTCTGAGTAATCTGTTTATTCTTAATTCTGGATAATTCAGTCCTAACTTAAAGTATAAGAGATCAGTTGGTATGATTGACAAAAAATCTAATTTGAATTGAAAGGATGTCTTGTATTTCTCTCTAAGCTTTTCTTCTTCTTTCACCAGAAGACCTTGCTCCAGGTAACCTAAAATCAAATTTTAAAATATTAAAAAGTGTTTTGACTTCAGCTTTCACTGCATTCTGTTTAATGTCAGTCCAAATCTACCTTGAACAATATTTTGGCTGCAGGTTCTAGATGTTAAATAATTTTCTTTTTTTATGTATATAAGCAGCTGCCTACTTCCAAATATTCTGCTTAGAGCTATATGGTTCAGCTCCAGCTAATCTGTAGTGCTTTTAAAACTGTACATTTCTAGCCCTAACTGTTTTCGCTCCACTGTTGTACTACCTGGTGAACATTTAGGCAGGGAGTGGGGGAACCTTGCAGGCTATAGGAAGGGTGGATAAAACAAGGGTGAAGAGTGTAAGCACGAGAGTTTCAGTCCCATATTAAGTGTAGTTACTCAATAACTCTGGATGTAAGATAAGATTCAAAAACAGTTGCCACTGACCTGATGGGATGTCCTAATTGCTCAGTGGTCCTGAAATTCATGTAAGTATTTGAAATGAATCGTCATCTGCCTCATTTGCCCATGCTGTGGGTTGGTTTTGCCTTGCACACAGTTCCAGGCAGAACAGCTTGTATCCAGCTTACTCATGCCAGGGGCTTTGTGTATTCCTTCAGTAGGGTGTTCATGAGTGTTCTGTGTGTATGTTTAGACACCACAGGTCTACCAATCTTTTACAGGTTTTATTTCATGTCCTTTTTCACTTTTGTTCCCCGTCAAGAGTACCCAAATGGTAAAAATAATACCCTTTTGAATATTTTATACTCCCGAATACAAATATATGAATATAAATCTTTAATCGTTTTGTATACTGACCTGTTCTTGTCCGTACAAACATGTCAGCAACATAGATGATATCAGAAACATAATCGGTAATGAACCATATTGCTAAGTAGTCATTCTGAAGTTCTTCAAAACAGGCTCTGGATAGGAAAAGAAAAAAGTAAATTCTCATGAAATGGAAATGAAATACTTGCATAAGATAAATGATTAATAAGTACTTAGAGATATTACAATTTGTCAGATTTTTTATATACTCATAAAAGGATCTCTGTGATATCAGCCACACTTAGAAAAAAATCAGTCATTTTACAGTTCTTCTGCAGATTTTGTTTACCTTTCTGTTTCTAGCAAGTGTTTACAATTTGGACTACAGAACATTTTCAAGTATTCAAAACAGGAAAATGTCTTGTGTAATTCTATGGACAACAAATACTCATGCCAACTGGGAATGCCAGATGGGAGCGTTGCCTAATAATTTCTTATGAGACCAAGAGTTTATGTTATTTATGAAACTTTCCCAGTCTTCTGTTAATAGCTATGCTTTCTATTCACTGAAATTATAAAAATGGAAAAAATGAAATGTCAGTTTCTGTGAAGATGCAGAAATCCAGCTGGCAAGAGTGGTAAGGATTTCAAAGATGCATGTGATTTCTGGTTTATTTATTTTACCTGCTCTGTTTTTATCTACTCTGTTTGATAATCAGGAAACATTTAGTATAGGAAAGTACAGCACTATGATTACTTTATGAGAAATAAGAGAGTACATTATTATTTACATTACCTAGCAATAATCATGGTCCAGTTGTACATGACAGGCATTGTGATGCAGAACAACCAATGATAGTACATATTTCCTGCTGGATCAATAATGAAAATTTCTGCCTTCTTCCTGAGTGATAGGCATGAAAACAAACAAACACAAGGATTTAATGAGGGATCTAAAATATGTGTAACTATTTTTAACAATAAATAATTGTTACTGTTAAAAAAAAAGAAGAAGAAAAATAAAAGAAAAGCTAGTTCTCCAGAGAAGAAACACTGGCATCGTTCAAACAGAGGAACCAACAGACAAACAAAAAGCATACAGTTAAGCAACACTACTCCTCACTACATGATTTTTAGTTACTCTTTCTGGTCCAGAAAACTATGAAATTACGAAGCAAAATGCAAAGGGTAGAAAAAGAGCTTTTAGATGATAGTATGAGTTTACTGGCTTGTAAGTACCATAATTTATAGAAGAGATTGCTTTACAGTGACTCATCTTTTGCTGCAGAGTATTATCAAAAAAATAAAAATAATAAAAAAGATCAGCAAACAGTTCCCTCTGTACATTTATGATCTTCTGTATTCTCTGTCCTTTCATCCCTATTTCTCAATATATGCATGAAGCCACTGAGGAAGCAGGCAAAAGAGTAAGGGCTGTAGAACTTACAGTGTGCTGATAAGGTGATTTTTTTTAGGTTATTATATTATGTGACTCAAAAATTTTAAGGATCTTCTTCGGAATCTGTAGAATATTGTTTTTTTCAGATTATTTTTTTCGGATCAGTTCCAAGCATTTTTATTTTCCTTCTAGTGTCATATGGATTTAAATTAGGACAACGCTACTCCAGACAGAGCAGCAGCAGTCAGTACTCTCATTCACTGGAGCGGGTGAAGCCTCTTGTTTGCAGGATGTCCATGAATGAGTTCACCTTTACATCAAAAGCGTCCTTTATTAGACCAACATAGTAGGATCTAAATGAAAAATACTTACTCCTCTTTCTTTTCTTTGTTCTTGGTTTTATCTTTGTTTTTGTTTTTTTCCTTTTTTTCCTTGTTCTTTTGTTCTCCATCTTTTTCCTTTTTCTTTTCTGACTTGCTAGGAATAGATTTATATTTTCAGTTGTTACAGAACAAGTTAGAACATATTTGGAAAAAAATTAAATGCCTTGCTAGCTAGTAGTATTATAATTCTGCCTTACCTCTTCTTTTCTTTTTTCTTTTTCTTCTTCTCCTCTCTAAGGAAAAGAAAAAATGTGGGAGGCTCATGGGATACACATTGCTTCCTCTGTTATTTATTAAAAGCAGCTGAGTTCACTAAGGTTAGCATTATCCTTAAGTGTCTGGCACCTTCACACAGAACTATTCTCATTGTAAATTAATGGATATCATACCAATAGCTTTGATATTGGCAATCTACTGTACATATTTGATGCATGTAAAGTTCAAATTTATATGCAGTGTCTTCTGGAATTGTATGAGATAACTGCTTATAAGGAGATAATTAAGATATACATCATTCTTTTTCATCTCAATTTAAACAACAAACATTATAGTATTCATATTGTATGACCAAAATTACCAAAATACTTACTCATCTTTATTACTATTGTTGTTAATATTGTAGAGTGCAATAGATGGTAGATAGCGTTGCCTATGGAAGAGCAAAACAGGATAGTTATGTGATACCTGCTAAAATATAAGCCTGTTGTCAGTTAAATTGTCACAGAACTGCTTCTCACCACTTTTATCATGGCCTAAGTTATCTAGGTGAATTGAATGAGTTGGCATTTTAATTCCCAAATATTTAGAATAAGCAAAATATCCCAGTATTTAAAACTTGGTTAATATAGAGTGAAGATAAGTAGAGGAAGGGAGGAAGCAAGGGAGGAAGGAAGGAAGGATAACAGTATCATTTAATCCAGTAGCGAATTTACAGTAACAAATTTGATTTACCTGTTTCCCTCTTCTTGCATCTGCCCAGGGTCCTCCTCACTGGTGTCTTGCACGACCACGCTGGGAATAACCACATGGGAGTGATGGGTGTCAATCACTCCTATCTTCATGGTTAAATTTTTCTTATCCTAAGTGAGAAAGACGGGTTTCAAAATGAATAAGTGATTTCACAATGAACAGAACTAATAAGCTATAAATAAACTGATAAGTTCTTGCATAGATGAATCCTTTGTTTTCTTGCTTCCCCAAAATAAAAACAGTTTTTCTAGCTTCTTCTCTCCTGTGTTATTCCCAGACAATAAAGGGCACTGTAGGTGCCTCAGTGTGTTGACTGCCCCAGCAACTGCTGCTGGCATGAACGTTCAACACACCTTTCCCTTAAAGAAAGTATTCATTTACTTCTTTTGCCTGAGTCTAATCCCATACATTGAAAAACTTTTGACCATTGTCTTTTAAACATCTACCACAGTTTCATTTGGTTTTGAGCCGGAGACTCAAAAGCTGTTGAATGAGAATGGGTAAGTAGGTTCATGCACAGGTGGCATCCTGCAAACAGGATGGGGAAGCACTTTGATGGTTGGATGCCAAAAGAAAAGCCACCATGCCTCACATGTGTGAGCCATACCCTGCTGAGAGCAAAGAGGAGTCGCATGCTGCTGCAGTCAAGCCTCCTGAGTTATGAGGGAGGCAGGCTGTAAACACCTGAGCAGAAATGGTGGGGCCTCCTCATGTCTAGTGCTGTTCATCTCCGTATTGAAAAAAATGAATGCTCTAGTGTACATAATTAATATAGTGTGTTCTGGAGCACCAACTTTTCCTCACTGGAGTAATTAACTTCTGCTCTCTCTTTCCACTACAGTTCTTACAATCATCTCTTCAGGAATGGGACCACCAGCTTGTCGGCATGAATTGTGTCAACCAGAGTGATCTGCTCTTGACTGGGACTTTCAATTAGGATTACAATACAACTGCTATCCACTAAAATGTGTGCCGAAATCAGAGTATAGACGTGTCCATAGGCCACCAACTGACAAGTCACTGGCTGTATCACTGTAAATGAAGTCAAATGCCGTAGAAGGAACCAATCTCAAAGAAAGTTCTTTCATTCCTGTAGGCAAACACACTGCTAAAGAGAAGTATGATGATACAGCTGCAACATTAGTACTGGATTTAACTGGCTTATATTATGTGTTCTTTAGTCAATGAAACTCAAAGTATTTTTATACAGAAGATAGTTGAGGAAACCCATGCTTCCAGAAGCCATCAAAAATTAATGATACATACTGCAAAAAATATTATAGCCCTCAGCATCACTCTACAAAACAGAAAAATTAAGACTGAAAATTTAGGTGTGTTCTTTCAAGAATATATACTCCAGAACTGCATGTCAGTTTTTAAAATAATTAAGAGAAGGGATCCGTTCTAGGCTGTCACACACACACACAAACCAAAAAAAAGAAAGGAAAAAAAGAGTGGTTCATAAGATTTAGTGAGCATTAAATTCGGCAATTGCCTGAAGGCTGTATCAAAGGAAAAATGCATTTGAAAATGTGCAGACCAAAATTACACAGGGTTGAATTAATCTGCTTTATCTCTGCTTACAGGTGGGAAAGCTCTGCTAATACTGGCACACAAAATTCCACCCTGATTTGACCTGTATCCTCCATGGATCCACACTGGAGTCAACAGAACTCACCTGAAAAGATAGAAAATAAAGCAGTGCCAAATTGCTTCTAGTCACTTGACACTAGACCATGTAAAAATACTCATCTCAAGCAAAATCATTCCATCCCCTTTGGATTGGAGAGCAAAAAACTGCATGTTATCCAGCCACCCTGATGCTGGAGATTTAAAAAAAAAAAAACAGAAATGTGATGGAATAGGAGATGTAAGAGAATAGGAAATGCCTTCGCATCTGCAGTACTTAGCCTGGAGTTTGGGCAAAAATCTCTCTGTTGTATGTTCTTCAGATAAACAGGAATTTCTGCGCAGTTTTTGCAAATAAATAGATTCCTCCAGCTCCATTAATATCGAGACTAAGTGCAACTTGTGGTGCTCTGTGTTCTGCCAAAGGAACAATAACAACCAGACATAAAACTTGCTGGGAAAGAGAAGGTTTCCTCTTCCCAAGGTACCAGAAGCATAAAGTGACCACTAAATATGCCTCAAAATTACTTGCATATTGAAATTGGAAGTATTTACTACTCTGTAATGTCCAGTCATTAGATGTGAATCTCAAGCTCAGCGGTCTGTGGAATGAAGTTGTTTCCTGTGTCAGTCAGTCAGGATATGCACTACAAGGATGTCTTCAAATTCTACCCGTGTCAAAGCCAGCAGTGCAGAGTTTTACAGTTCCTCAGCCTGAGATACAGAAATGGTTTTGCAGTCATGCCCAGTGCAAACCAAGCAGCCACAAGAATTCCTCCTGGTTTGGGGTTGCGGTTACGGCCGGCCTTTATAGCTGTATATTCATGGAACAAAACCTGAGCTTGTGAACAGTGACATTTTCCATTAGTCTCAGTGGGGCCAGAACTTGCCATTCAATGCACTATTTTATGTATTTTAGGAGGTTTTTCAGGCAAAATAATTCAGTCTGTTTATTAAATTACTACCTAAAACTACTACTACTACTACTACTACTACTAGTATTACTACTACTACTACTAAAAAACTACCATTTTTCCAGCTCTATAGGTGCATGTAATTTTCTTCAACTTCTATCACAAACTGCTACACTGATTTTATTTAAGTAGTCTAAAAATTATTTTCACATTGTAATATTTAGAAATTTATTATGAAAAGTAGAGCAGAAAAATGTTTGCTTCAGAGGTATGTTTCTTTTTATATTATAGTGTGCTTGTATTATCCTATTTTTTTAAATGTAACTACTACGATAAATATTATGATGCAACATTATGATGTAAAAGGTATTTATATTAACTAATACACATCAATATGTTTAAGTTGCAAGAAAATGAAGGGAGCATTTTCCTTTTACAGGTCTGTAGTAAGTGGAGGACTAGCAACTGTCTTTCATGCTCTTTTATTTTATCTATTTCCCACTTTCTTTTTGGCCCAATGTACTCATTTCTTTAATCTCATTATATTTAGGGAAGGCATGTTTTCTGTAAGGATATCTGAGAACAGGATTTGGCCAAATGTAGAGCTCTGCTTTCGTCTCTACTAGAAACAACAAGAAGTATTCAGTAATATTAAATTCTGCACTGTCTTGCAGCAAAATACTTACTTGCAGCAAAAAAAAATATTTTCTGACATGCAAAAAGATTTCTTAACAGTTTTGCAGTAAGAAGTTTGCATCATCATTAAGTATGCTTACCTTGGTAATGTAATCTGCTCCTGCTACTGGTCTTTTCAGTCCTTTAAATCAGCCACATCTCCATGCTAAAGAAGCAATGCCATCAAGAAAAAATAAATATTGCATTTAAATACTGCAAACAAAACATTGCAGGCATAAATCCTTCGTTGATTGGTTTCTCAGACAGCCCAGTCTCAGGTGCAGTACTCTGAGTTATTCCCAGGGAAGGACATGGCTATTAGAGGAGGATTTCCTTGACTGATGGATTTTGAGATTTAGAGACAGATGAAAGTGACAGTGGCAGTCAATATTATCCCTCACCTGAGCAGAAGCTTATTGTGCAGAGCATGCACAATAAATGGTAAACATTTTGAAACCAAATAAAATAAAATAAAATAGTATATATTCTGTATTGTTTGCCAGCTTTCTTTTCTTAATGTTGCAGACAGTTGTTTTGTTGTAATAATAGCTCTCCACTAGAATAGACCAAACACCATAAATACAAGTTTGCTGATTGTTTGTCTGATATTATCAGATGGTCCATTAATAAGAGAAGCAATGGTAACCTAACTAAACTATCATAATTTTTCCTATCCTGATCCCTAAAAGAACAAGTAATTATGCATATATGTCTGAAAAATCTCATATCTTCTTTACTTGCAAGAGGAATGCATAATGTGAATTCAAACCAAATTAGAAAAATCAAACAAACAAAAAACAGCTATTCATGAATAAGTGTATTTCTATAGTCTAGATGTTAGAATTCTCCCTGAATGAAAATCGTCTTGGGGGTATCATCTACTTATACTCTTGCATTGTTTTTGATTTTCCAAGCAATGTAGAAAAATAAACATATCACCAAACTCTCGGATTAACAAATGGAAACTCTCGCCCATTTTCTTACAGAAAAAGGATCTGGTCTTTAATTTGGTGCAAAATGCTTGCAGAGAAGTACTCCAAAGCTGTCCTCTTGTTTCAGTTTTAAGCCCCACCATACTCAGAGCTGTGCCAGAGCATAAAACTGCTACCCTGGTAACCTCAAAACAGCTCTAACAGCCCGATAGGAATTGAGCGTGAATTTTTAAGACACTGAAATAATCTTCAAATTTGGTATGGATTTGCCATATTTACCCTTTTTTGTCCTTTATTGGAAGTTTAATTCATAACTGCGCAAAGAGCACTTTGCTACCCAACCCCAAAAGGGTTTGTTGGGTAGTTGTGGTTCTCACAGAATCTCAGAACGGTTGAAGTTGGAAGGGACCTCTGGAGATCATCTAGTCCAACCCCCCTGCTCCAGGAGGGACACCTATAGCACAGGGTGGTATTCGGGCAGGTTTGGAAGATCTCTGGAGAAGGAGACTCCACAACCTCTCTGGGCAGCCGTCACATTCACAGTAAAGAAGTTCTTCCTCATATGAAGATTAAACCTCCTGTGTTTCAACTTGCACCCCTCGTCCTGTCACTGGCCACCATGGAGAAGAGCCTGGCCCCATTCTCCCTACATTCAGCCCTCAAGTATTTGAACATAGTGATCAAATCTCCTCTCAGCTTTCTCTTCTCTAGACTAAACAAGTCCAGCTCACTTAGTCTCTCCTCATAAGATAGATGCTCCAGTCCCTTAATCATCTTCTCCTACATTAGAGATGCATCGAGTTCATTTGTGGTGGCCACGGCAGTCAGGAAAGGCCCCAAAACACAAGCTGTTGAGTCGTCTGCACACCCTCAGCTTTCCTGTTTCACTTCTGGGGCCCATGAGAATAAAGAAAATAAATTCTCAGGAGTTTAAGGGATTAG